CTGAATGAGGGAAGTCAGCCTTTTGTCTGGGTGTTTTAGCAGGGATGTATCTAAAAGTTGCAGTCTGGAGGACTGGACCTGGTGGTTCCTGATTGGTTCCGTCAATGTGGCCCGTTGAGGGGGGCCAATATGCTGAAGTGGCCCTCGGTGAAACTGAGTTTGACACCCCTGGTTTACATCACTATTGCTTATTTTGTATTTGTAGATGACATGGGTATTTTGTTTAAAAGGTTACATAAATGTTCATGTATTTATATTAAATGGGAGGTGTCATGAAAAATCAAATCTTTTTATGTTATAATGTTCTTCCCTCATCAAAAACAAACCTGGAGTGTTGCCTTCATTCGTCCTTTAATCTCCATGGCAACCACTCAGATGTAAAAAACGCCTGGCTGGGCCTAGCCCCGCCCTCATGGCGCAGCTCTTCTCCCACTCTGCTCCTTCAGACTAGCCAGCAGCAATTAGCAAACACCTGGTGGAACTGCTGAGCTCATTATAGGAGCTGCTGCTCAGAGCAACGCTGGTAAAAACATTGTTAAAGGGTTAATAGGACGACTTCCTGAAGGCAGAGTTCAGAAAGAGCAGGAGCTTCTTAAAGAGACAGAAGCCCAATTTAAAAGTGTTAAATTACAAAGGAAAATTTCCTTTAAGTACTATTCTATATCCTGCATTTTAAAGAACTGAAGTAGCATAGCCAGTTGATTATTCTTTAAAATGGTTCTATGTGCCTAGAAAATACATGATACTTCCCCTTTAAATTAAAGCCAGTTTATTGTCCCCGCAGCTAAATTCCTCTGGAGGATTCGTTTGCACGGCTCACACAATACACACCAAGTATGTGGGAGTCTGTGTTGCTACTCAAGGTGGTTTTATATCAGTGAATGCTGATTAATTAATGATTAATGAATACTGTGGCGTATTTAGTTTTCCCATGTCGGCGCTGAGGGTACTGGGAAACTATTTTTTATCTCCTTTCTTGTATGTTCATTGAGTCATTTCTCCTTAAATGACTTCTCTTTTCAGCATCCCTCTGCATATCTTCTCTGCTTGAACTGAAACTTCTGCATATTATTGCAGAAGTTAAAGTGACAGAAATTATTTATTAAAAAATGTTGAAGTATAAAATGATAATAAAATGATGAGCCCAGAGTCACTTCCTCAGACTTTACCGAGCTTTTTCTCAGCACAGCTCTGCCCAGGGGAAGGGCTACACCAAAGGGTCCCAAAGTGGGGCCTGGAGGCCCGGGTAGCCTGCATGTTTTGGGTCTCTCCCTGGTTTAACGCACCTGGATCAAATGATGGCTCATTAGAAGCCCTAAGAGGAACATTGACAAGCTGAAAAGGTTGTTACTGCCACCAGGGAGAGAACTAAAACGTGCAGGATGCCGGGCCTCCAGGACCCACTTTGGGCACCTCTGGGCTACACTGTTGCACCTTGAGCTGAGGTACTTTCTGTTCCCTAGGTTGGTTTTCTGAAGCAGAACCGACTGAATATCTCAGCAATGGGTTTCCAGCAACCTTGCCTGCGAAAGCAGAAACAGCTGGTGAACCTCATCCTCCTGTTGGTTGCCGTGTTCATAACGCTCAAGATGGCGGAAAGGTGAGTGGTGCCACTTCTCTGATCCAACTGGAAACATTCTGAGGATTGTTTCAGCACCGTCACTGTTAAACACAACACGAGTCTTTATTAAAACGCTGAGCGTGTTACGGGAAACTTTCATGCTCCTCCATGAGTGGCTGACATCCTTCACTGGGTTTATCATTGTTCCCCTTTTCTCTAATTCAGAAAACGGTTTAATTCACCAAGTTTGTGCGCAGAGAAAGACATCTGTCCTGCTTTGCTTTCAGTGAGGATAATTTCAGTTTAAATATGCACACATACAGTGCTTGAAATATCTCCAGAGGTCACCAAAGGTCAACCATCACCCCCACGTTACCCAAGTTTAACAAAATTGGTATCAAATGTTTGTGCTACATTTGTGCAGCAAAAATTTT